TTCGAGAAGAGAGGGGGGAGGTTGGGGACTGAAGAAGAAGGATGGGTGGTAGGGTGAAGGATGTAGGATTTTGTCATGATGCTGAGCTGGGTGGAGTAAATCTCCTGCGGATTTGTGTAGAGAGCTGTGACACTCACAAACATGCACAGCAACTGCTATAGAAACAGCCACTGAGGCCTTAACTGTCAGTCTGTTTCTGATGTGTGTTGTTTCACAACAAAGTATGCCCTAAAGGGATTATCAGAAAAAAAAACATTTTATTGTCCAGGTCATCAAGGGATAAGTTAACTTGGTGAGAGAAAAACTGATACTCGGGTTTTAAAGTCACAGTAACACACGCAAGCATATTCACATACACAATAGTGCTTATATGGTTATGTAATGTAAAGAGCAGTGCATCTCCATTAGCAGCAAACAAGCGTGAAACACCACACAAAAAATATATTCGAGCCTCACTGTTGTGGGTGGTGTGTGATAATGGCAAGCTGTCATGTGCACATGTTTTTCCTCCCACAATTACACACCACTATCTGTATCTACACACGGATGGCTGCAGCGCAAAGCCAGCTTACCACACACACACAGACACACACACACCCGGTAAACTGTCAGAACTTCTCCTGTTTGGTGGCCAAACTTATGTAAGGCACTCATGTCCCCAAGGTTCCCATCACACATCACAGCAGGAAACTATATTCTAGTCTAGTACATTTCAGTTAGGCCATACTGTTCCTTTCAGCTGCTAATGTATAACAGGCAGACATGGATCATGTGTGTTTATGTGAATAGCAAACTGCTTCCATGCTAGCTGCTAAGTGCATATAGACTATGTCTATGAACCATGTGTAATTAAAAGCATCTTCATTCCAAAAAGTTTTGATCCTTAAAATTTTACATATAAATACATTTTTGATTAAAAATAAATCAAATCAAATATCAGCTATAAGTTGTAACCATAAACATTCAATAAGTTACTCTGCCTCATTGCAGTAGTTTTCAGTGTTTTGGTGGAGTGATTCAAAGTGCACATACACAGGCAAACCAAAGAAAGCATGTACTGGAAATTGTGCAGAAGTCAAAAGGGAATAATACAAAATCATGACTTCAGTATTAGAATGGTAGATTACACAGATGACTGTTTTTTAGTATATTAATATTTATTAGTTTGCGCACAGCAGACGTGCAAAAAAAGTTGCTCGTCTTTCTTTGTATAATTTGGCTGTGTAATATGTTTGTTGTCCAACTCACATGTAATTTCTAGGCTCTAAAACACTCTTATTGTTACCGTCTCAGTAACCAAATCAACCAGGACCCAAATCTTAAGAGTTATGATT